ATAATGAATTAACAATACACGACATGACAATGTATGCCACAAGGATCATGTTTAAATATTTTAACTAAAAGGGTATTTCAGGGCTTTTTCTTGTCCCTTTCTTTCAAATAAACCTATTGTGTCAGATCCAAAGTATTGGACCCTTTAGACCTAATTCAATACTATTTCTAGATGGATTATGTTAACTGGTCCTAACCAGTTCAAAAACAAGGATATGGGGGCACCTGGGTGGCTCAGTTGGTTAAGCATCCAAATCTGGGTTTCATCTCAGGTCATGATCAAGCCCCCTTTCGGGCCCCTCGCTCAGCATGGAGTCTGCTTGAGATTCTCTCTTTCTCCCTCTGCCCCTCCCCCACCTTGTGTGCTCACATGCTCTCTCTCTCTCTCAAATAAATAAATAAGTAAATAATCTTTAAAAAACCCCACAAAAGCAAGTATATGACGTGTAATAGGCAGGCATCTTATAAAGCAATTATAAAGGGAAATTAACAGTTACCCATTATAATGCTTCCATTCTGCCTTTTTAAAACAAGTGGCAGGCATCCCTAAATTTATGAAGTAAAGGCATATGGGTGAGCGTATGTGAGCATGTGCATGCATGCAGGGTGGGTAGTGGTAGCTTGGAGAGAAATTGACAGAAATGGAAACATAAATATTACTCAATTTTTAGAAAACATGGTAAAATTCAATGATGAGAAATAATTTGTATAGTAGAATTAAAGTTATATATTAATATAAAGGCAAGTCAGTCCAAACATAAATAATCTATGTTTTTTTTCTAATTTCTTTTGAAGGAATCAGTCTTTGAACATGCAGATCTTTTACATAAAGGACTTATTTTGCTATGGATACTGTTTAATAAATGTCCTTACTTTAACATGAATTAATAATCCCACCTAGTTTACCACAAAGATCAAGTAAATTGAACATTAACTTTCATGGTTTTATGAGGTAAAAATACTCACGTATTTAAAGATAGGAAGCTATGTCCATTTTGAAATTTTTTAATTTAGTAGAAAATCTCCTTAATTTTTTTATTCTAACTATGGTCTCAAATGATAAATCATCCTAGGCATAGGTGTAGGTACTTTGAATTTAATTGGGATAAACTTACACATAGGTGTTTGAGAGATGTTTCGAACAACCATTATTCCACATTTTAAGAGAAAGGACATATCTGTAGAAGAAATGGAGAGATAAACTTAAGCTTAAGTCCAAACTGTTTTACTTATGAAACATGGCAATACTACTGGTTTTTTTAATGAAATTTGACACTTGGACAAAACTGATTTTCTCAAAATAGTTGACAACTATCATTTTAAAATGTGATGATTTAAAAGTGAATTCCAATGTATAATTTAGAACCTGGACAAAGGTCTTTTTCATGTATGTTTGCCATGAAAACACCAAGTGTCAATAGTTGAGTTTTTACAGGATTTTTTGTCATTGTCCATTGATGAAATTTTATTGGAATATACCCATCCCCATTCTTTTTTTTTTAACTTTTTATTTTAATTCTAGTTAGTTAACATACAGTGTTAGTATTAGTTTCAGGTGTATGCTAGAGTGATTCAGCAGTCCGTACAACACCAGGTGCTCATCACAGCAAGTGCAGTCCTTAATCTCCATCACCTAGTTAATCCATTCCCTCCCTCTCCCTGGTAACCATCAGTTTGTTTTCTATAATTAAGAGTCTGTTTTGTGGTTTGTCTCTCTATTTACCTTTGCCCGTTTTTTTTGTTTTTTGTGGGTTTTTGTCTTTTTTTTTGAGAGAGAGAGAGAAAGCATGTACGCAAGAGCTAGTGAGCAGGGGAGGGGCAGAAGGAGAGGGAGAATCTGAAGCAGGCTCCATGCCCAGGGTGGAGCTTGACTCAGGGCTCAATTCCAGGACCCAGAGATCATGACCTGAACGGAAATCAAGAGTCCAGAGCTTAACTGACTGAGTCACCCAGGCTTTTTTCTCAAATTCTACATGTGAGTGAAATCATATGGTATTTATTTATTTTTTCTTTCTTTTTTTAAAGATTATATTTATTTATTTGAGAGAGAGAGAGAGATAGCGAGAGAACAAGAGTGGGAAGGAAAGGGAGAAGCAGGCTCCCTGCTGAGCAAGGAGCTCGATGCGGGGCTTGATCCCAGGACTCTGGGATCATGACCTGGGCCGAAGGCAGCGGCTTAACCGACTGAGCCACCCAGGCGCCCCTGGTATTTGTTTTTTTATCATTGACATATTTTGCTTAGCATTATACTCTCTAGCTCCAGGCATGTTGTTGCAAATAGCAAGATTTCATTATTTTTTATGGCTGGGTAATATTCCATTGTATATATATAGCACATCTTTATCCTTACTCATTAGTCGATGGACACTTGGGCTGCTTCCATATCTTAGTAGTTTTTACAGTTTTATTTAAATAAATTGGCCATATATGTCATTAGATTTTAGTATTTAATGTGGGATAATATTCATATGGTTGATGATTTTAGAGTTAGCTTTAGATACACATGAGGAGTTCCATAGGTACCTCTCAGGGATCAGTGCAGCAATTTCAATATTGTGTGTAGGCTACATGAGTAAAGATAAACAGGGATGTTGCCATTATTAGATCCTGATTTTAAGCACAAAATTCAACTTTTTTTTGGAAGATTTATTTGAGAGGGAGAGAGCGCATGCACAAACTGGGGGGAGGGGCAGAGAGAGAGGAAGAAGCAGGCTTCCCACTGAGCAGGAAGCCTGAGCAAGGTCCATCCCAGGACCCTGGGATCATGATCCAAGCTGAAGGCAGATGCTTAAATAACTGAGCCACCCAGGTGCCCCTAAATTCAACTTTGATAATACCTCTGAACTACTTCAGTTTTTCTTGTGAATCCAGAAACTTAGATGGGTTTCCTTAATTCAGATTCTAAGTGACTAATCTCATTCTTTTAAAAATTTAACTTTAGGGCGCCTGGGTGGCTCAGTTGGTTAAGCGACTGCCTTCGGCTCAGGTCATGATCCTGGAGTCCCGGGATCGAGTCCCGCATCGGGCTC